TTAGAAGCAGCAATCAAGAAATCAAATGCTGTACTGCATTAGGCAAATCTGCTACACAAGACCTCTTTTAAGTGTTCAAGAGTGAAGATGTCAGTTTGAGGACTGAGGTGGGCCTGACCCAAGCCATGATATTTTCATAGCCTCATATGCATGTGTAAGTTGGACAATGAATAAGGAAGACTGTAGAAGAATCGATGCATTGGAGTTACGGTGTTGGAGGAGAATATTGAAAGTACCATGGACTGCTAGAAGAACAAACCAACCTGTGTTGGAAGTAGTACAGGCAGAATGTTACTTAGAAGCCAAGATGGCCAGTTTGTCTCTCATACTTTGGACGTATTATCAGGAGGAACTAGTTTCTGGAGAAGGACATAGTGGTGTTTGTTAAAGTGAAGGGTCAACATAAAAAAGGAAGACCCTCAACAAGATGGACTGGCATAGTGACAGCTGCGATGGGCTCAGGGACAGCAGCAGTTGTGACGATGGCACAGGACCTGGCAGTGGTTCGTTCTGTTGTGTAAAAGGTCACTACGAATTGGAACCGACTTCGACGCCACCTAACAACAATGAGCACTATGGAAGTGTATGTAAACTTTCCTACATATATGTGATTTTTTCTAGAGGAGGAGTCTACATCCCAAAAGTATGTGAGATAAAAAAAAAAAAATTAGCCATTTAAGACATACAGTGGAGTAGGCGTGAATTAGAAGTGACTTAATGGCAACTATTAACAAGTAACAGCAAGACTGCTTTTGGATGGAAGCTAAATATTTATGATTTTGTTTTCTTATGTACCACAGAGTTGGTTCCGTCTCATAGCAACACTGTACAAGGTTTCCAAGGCTGCAAATCTTTATGGAAGCAGAGAGCCTCATCTTTCTCTTGTGGAACTGTTGGTAGTTTCAAACTGCTGGCTGTGAGATTAGCATCCTGACGCATAACCACTGCGTTACTGGTGGCTAAATTATTTACTGAAGTACCTGCATCTTAACAGACTTTCTTGCTCTGGTGGTACTGTGGGTTAGGCTTTGGGGTGCTAAATTCAAATCCAACCACTGCACAGGAGAAAGATGAGGCTGTCTACTTCCTTAAAGATTTATAGTCTCAGAAACCCAACAAAGGGCTACTATGAGCTGGAAACAGGGAGCATGGTGGTGCCATATGATATGCACTGACCTGCGAACCACAGGGTCCATGGTTTGAACTTGCCTGGCATTCTGAGGGAGAAAGTTGAGGCTTTCTGCTCCTGTGAAGATTTAAAGCCTCTGAAACTCTATACAGGGTCGCTGGAGTCAAAACCGACTTGACAGCACATAGCAACATGGTAGAATTAATTTAGACGTATAAAATAAGCTGTGTACCTTGGGGGTAAGTCTTGAGTACTGGTGTGGCACTGCGGGTTAATGCGCTGGAATGTCAGATCACTTGAACCGTAAGGTCAGAGTAGTTCAACCTCACCAGCCTTTCCTGGAAAACTATACAGGGTCACGATGAGTTGGAGCTGACTTGACAGCTCTTAACAACAACAAAGATACCTTGGTGGAACAGTGGGTCAAGTGTTAGCCTGCTAACTGCAAGGTCGGTGGCTCCAACTCACCAGCCACTCTAGGGGAGAAAAATGATGCTATCTGCTCCTGTAAAGATTGCAGTCTTGGAAAACAAACCATGTAGCCGAGTACGAATCTGTTCTACAGGCCTGCTGCCAGCAGGAACCAACCCAGTGGCAGTGGTTGGGTAAGGACAGCGAGGAGCTCTGGTGGCACAGTGGAAGGGTGGCAGTCTGCTTCTATAAGGATAAAAATCCACTGTCGTCAAGTGGATTCTGATCACAGTGACCCTATACAGTGTTTCAGAACTACTCCATAGGATTTTCAGTGCTGTCTATGTTTACCAAAGCAGACCGCCACAGTTCTCCTATGGAGTTGTTGGTGGGTTCAAACTATCAAGCTCTCGGTTAGCAGCTGCATGCCACCAAGGTTCCTTCTGTAAAGACTCTGAGGCAGTTCTACAAATCAATGTAGACTCGATGGCAGTAGGGTTTATTGGAAGAAATATTGGGAAACTCATTTTTTGCTTAAGTTGGTGCACTTTTATCACTTATAAAAGAGAAATTGCCTTTAACCTCCTATTTATAGGGACAAGCTGGCAGCACTTATGCCCTGGGAAATGCCCAGTCAGTGCCCCAGTATAACTGTATCATTGTTAAATGAATGAAATACTTGCATACAGATTGATATAATGCACTGACACTGAACATGTAACAATTTCAGACACTATTAAAAGGTTAGAAATTATTTGAATGAAATGTTATTACTTCAGTAAAAGCTGACAGAGGATTCAGCATTATAAATAAAATTTCGTACACTGACAGAAGTTTTCTCTTTTTGAAATTATCTAATGATGTCACCCAGCAGTCGTGATGGAAGAGGATAATGGGGTGGTATATATATATGGGGAAACCCTTAATGGGCTGCCTGAATGGACCAAGACACTGTCTGGGGTAAGAGCAGATGTTACTCAGTAACTGCCTTGGATGGCCCCATCCACCAAATGGAACAGGCAGCACGGGCAGGTGTGTAATGACCAGGTGGGAAGTATTTGCATCGGGGTACATAATGTATCTCAATGGGAGCACACACCTATCTGTTCTCTGGCCCCAACAAAATGCTGAGTTCCGCTTTATAACTTTTCATTTATGTATTAATTTATAGGGAGCACGGTGGCTCAGTGGCATCCTGGTGTGGTTCAAATGCACCAGTCATTCCTTGGAAACCCTATACAAGGTTGGTCACTATGTGTTGGAACAGACTCGACGTCACTTAGAAACAACAACACAGTGGCTCAGTAGGGTATGTGCTGGACAGCAAACCATAAGCTGAAACGTTCTGCTCTTATAAAGATTTACAGCCTCAGAAACCATATACAGGGTTGCTATGAGTCAGAACTGACTTGATGGCACTTAACAATGGCAATACTGACTTATATTTCTTAATCAGTTCTTTATGTTTCTAGACATGGAAAAAGGAAACCCAGCTAATATTTTCCTTGTTTTGATTATGGTCTATTTCCCCCTTTAACCTTCCCATACTACAAGTAAGAAACTACAGTGAATATTTACTATAAGTTTTAAGGGTTTAGTAAATATGAGTGGATTCTATGTATTCAGATAACGAAACAGCTTTGGGGAGGGAGGGTCTGATAAAACTGCAAATACCGATATTGATTTAACACAGAGGATCCTAGGGTTTGCATGCTAAATCTTTATGGGTTTCTTCAGTGTCAGAGGTCCTTGCAAATTTGTAGGGCATTCTTTTGATGGTTTTTGTGTCCATGAATTAATGTCTAAAAGTTTAAAATTCAGAGTTCTATCAAGCAAATATTTTGTTAGCCCTAAACCAAGCAACTCAAACTATAAATACATGAGATTAGGTAAGAGAAATGACAAGGAGAATTGTGAACAAATCTCCTTGACTACTAGAAAACAACAACAAGGCTTATTCGCTTCTAGTGCCAGTTTGTAGCATCAAGGACATTTACAAAAGAGCAGATGTGCTTCCCAACTATCTGTTCATCCCTTCCCATTTCTAAGAAGAAAATTGTAGACCTAGCCTAAGGGAAGAAAAAGACAAGAGTAGAAGGTCTCAGGCATGGAACTACTTTTATCTAGGTTCTGATGCCATTGACCAGGCTGGAGTGTTTGGCCACGATCCATACTGTGACCACTTAGAGGCCAGCCTTCAAAGTCTAGGTGCTTAGCATAAGAAGAGGATTCCACTCAGGATGTATGATAGACTCCCTTTCTGTGGTTCTTGCTGAGCTGACTTTGGAAACTCAGCTAGCCAGAATGTGTCAGGAATCCTGCAGGGAATAAGCTCTGGCTGGTCCCCAAATACCCAGAGATTGACAAGATGGTTGACTCAAACTTTATGATTAGAAAATAATGCTTAAGGGATCTCATAATTACTTGGTGACTGCTGCAGCATGACTTTGTAAATGTCAACCAATCTAATGTTCCCTTGTAAGTTTCTGAATTTTCTGTACTTAAACTAGGTGAAAACTTCCTCTCTCTTGTCTATTTTAGCAAATTCATACTAACTGATGCCTGATCCATATTGTTTTATTCCTTCAATAAAACACTCTGTTTTAATTTTAACAGCAACTCCACTTTGCTCTTAGACAAGACTCAAAACAAAACCAAGCCCAACCCATGGCCGTTGAGTTGATTCCAACTCTTAGTGACCCTGTGTCAGGTTTCCAGGGCTGTAAATACTCATGGAAAATGAAGGATGACACTTTCTCCCATGGAACAGCTGGTGGGTTTCAACTGCAGACTTTGTAGTTAGCATTCCAGTTCTAACCCTACAGCAGTATCGGGGCCCCTTCTGACAAGACCCAATGGTTAGGAAATACCAAACATAGTGCTTCCAGAGTTTTAAGACATAAATGAAAAAGACGAGAGAATATTATCCCATGATCTATGAAGACTTGAAGGATCTGTGTTTCATACTGGCTTCTCTAAATTCAATGTTTTGTTAAGTGCCTTCGAGTTGGTTCTGACTCATAGTGACCCTGTATAGGGTTTCCGAGGAGCAGTACGTAGGTTTGAACCACCGACCTTGTGATTAGCAGTCCAGTGCTTGTCCTATAGCACCACACAAGGAGTCCCTAAATTTACTGTTGTTAAATGCTGCTGAGTTGATTCCAACTCATAGCGACCCTATCTATATAGGGTTTACGAGGAGCAGTTGGGGGGTTTGAACTGCTGACCTTGTGGTTCGCAATCCAGTGATGATCCTACAGCGCCACATCAGGAGTCCTGTATAATTAACTCTTATCCAAACTTTACTTCCCTTCTTTGGCCCAGTTTTCTGACTTCCAAGTCCTCCTTAGGAAAGGAATGTTGTTTATAAATTTATGTCAGAGGATGGGACACACTGAGCTAAGGGAAACAACAACAAAACAACAAAACCCACATAAAAAATGAATCTGCAGTAACTCACCATCAGAGGGCACAGCAGTGCTGCAATAAACCACTCCTAAATCCGGCCAGGAAGAAAGCCTCTGGTGCACCTAGGAAATGAAAACAGAAACACTGATTGTCAGGATAGAACAACCAAGGCCACCAAGGCCACATACATATGTATATGTAATCAATCAGAGTCATTTCCCATGTACTTAAATAATGCATATTCTTTATAGAAAAGTTAAAAAAAAAACACACAAAAAACAGATAAAGGAAAATAAAAGTCTCAAAAGCTGCTATTCTAAGATATAGCATGCAACATTTTGGTGTGTTTTCAAGATTACAAGCAACTCAGAAGAGGAGGTGGGGTTGAATAGCTTGAAGAATAATCCATAGCGCTGAATTGTACCTGCAGAACTGCTGAACTGATGTATGTTTTGCTGTACATGTTCTCAACAACAAAAATAAGGCACTAAAACTACGTAAACATAGTTACAGAAACAAATGCTATACATTTATGCTCACTTATCAGCTCCCACTGACATTTCACATTTATGAAACTGGTAAAAAAAAAACCTATTCAACGATTCTGTGCATTAGCGATGTAGGTCTTGTGGTAACGAGATGCGCGGTGAGCGCCATGCTGGTTGTGACGGTGAATTTAGTGTGTCAGCTCGGCTGGGCCAGTGGGTTGGCAGTAATGTCCTCTCCATTTGGTGACCTGATGTGGTCATCATCTTTTTTCACGTAACACAGACTTGGTCTTTGAAAACTAACCATGTTGGTAAGTGAGGAATGGGTGTAGTAAACAAAACAAGGGTTATACTACATAAATTGTTTTTTTCACTTAAAAAAAATTAATATTGATTTTTAGCACTATCAGATGTAACTTTTCTGTTGCTTTTTCCTGTTTAATTTCAGACCTGCACTCCCGTTCTTTTACTAGGTGTATAAACTGGTTATTACGTAGCTGTGTCACGAAGTCTGTGTTACCTGATTTTTCTGCTCATTCTCCTTTTTGTAAACTTTGGGTAGGCAACTTCATCCCTGGAGTCTCCAATTACTACCTTCTTCTAAGTGTTAGGAAATGTTGGAAGGTTTCTTTCTATCTGCCTTTCCTATTTCCTCAGAGAATAATGTCACTGTGGATTTGGAATTTAGACTCTCATAATTAAACTAAGTGTTAAAAAGAATATTGACTTTGGATCTAATTTGCCAAGATGCATTCCATCATACCTTTTGCTTTCCCAACCCTGAAGAATATTAAAGGAGGAGGAAGAAAGGAAATCATTAAATGACTAAAAAAACCAAAAAGAAACCAATGTACTAGCTTCAGACATTATGTTCCACTTCATCGGTACAAGGTTAAATCTCTTAGGACTCCACAATAATATATCCCTTAACACAACTATTACACACAATAGACATATCCTTTACACCAGTATCATTACTGATCTTTAACTTAAAAAGGGCACGCAGGAAGGTGAGACTGACGTTTATAGAAAGGCTCATAAATCATTTCCAGTTACTTGAGACTTAATTCACAGCTGATGTGTCTAGAAGCTGTCAGAGAATCTCTAAGGAGCTTTGGTAGCGTAGTGGGTTACAAGCTGAGCAGTTCAAATCTACCAGCCACTCCGTGTGAGAGAGAGGAGGCTTTCTGCTCCTGTAAAGATTTAAGGCCTCAGAAACTCTGTACAGGTTTGTGTGAGTCGGAACCGACTCCATGACACGCAACTACCACTACCACCAACTCCCCGCCCTGACGTACACAAACACTGTTTCTAAATAGTTTTGGGATAATTCACTCTCCCCAAACCCTTCACAGATGACTCCTTTAACTACACTGGCAACTACAAACACATACAGGGCTTTTTCTTTCTTTAGCCTCTAGTAATTTATAGTCCAGTAAAGGCCAAGAAAATGATTTTGTTCTTGCTTTTTTCCCCTTGAAACATGACACCACCAACAACAACAATGAAAGAAAAAAAGTGAAACAAAAAAACCAAACGAGGACTTTTTTATCTTGATGCTCGAGATAAAAAAAGACGATGCTATTCTAAACTGCATTCCATGATGCCAAACACCAAGTATGCTCAGTTGTTTAGATGTATTTTGGAGATGTCTCGAGAAAATAGTAAGCTTTCAATTCATAAATACTTGACTGATTGCTGCAAGTTTTCAAAATATGTCGAAGTTAAAACATCAGTAAAAATATTCAGGCAATGGTATGTATTATTTACATACTTAAATTTAATAGGCTGAGAACAAGAAAAGGTTAAAACAGTACATCAGATGGTGCTGCGTCCTCAGGGACAGTGTAGGTCAGTCTCTGGGTCATAAGCTTCCTAATGAACCAGGTAATTTAGTGCCACCATGGCTTTTGGTACAACAGAGTCCTCATCTTTGATAGTAACTGGAGAAGTAGGGTACTTAAGTGAAGAAAACCATAACATTTGCCCTGGAGTCAGAATATAAAACTGTTGTAAGAGTCAAGCCAATCAAAAAATCAAACTTCAGTATTATAAAGAGACATTTCATGCCATCAGAGGAAAGGATTTAATTCAGGTCACACTTACTTTTAAATCCTTTTACTATCTATCATAAATTATGCAATTTCCTTACACTCACCTTTCATGGTCAGAAGAACAAACGCAGCAGTATATTCCTGCCAGCAATTTAAGTCTGTCAGGTCTAATTAATCTGTCTGTCAATAGCTCCAGAATATTCATAGCCAATTAGACATTACATAAAAGAAAAGCAAAAGCTATTTTCTTATAATGCCAATTTCCTATAATTAAGCAAATCTTGGTCTAATTTCATTAGGAAACAAATACCTGTGAACTATATCAAACCATACCAGTGTATAATAAGCATATCAGAGTATATTACCTATATTAAAGTATACTGTATTATCTATCTATCTATCTATCTACACGAGCTGTATATCAAAGGGCTTTAGGTAGAGAATAACTGTACTCATATTTATATATTTATTTATGGCCAAAATATAGATGGAGTCCTGGTGTGGAACTGTAGGATAAGCACTAAACAGCCAACCCAATGTCGATGGATCAAACCCACCAACTACTCCTCAGAAACCCTACAGGGTCACTATGGGTTGGAACTGACTTGGCGACACTTAACAAAAATTCTAGTTGTACAGTATCTCACCATACAACAAATTTAGATACAGGGGAGTTTCAAAAAGTTTGTGGAAAAATGGAATTAAAAGATAATGGAAATTTTCCACCAATTATTTGAAGCCCCTTTGTATGTAAAAGTATATCTCCTTGTTATAGCTCCTTTAGTATACTATGGAATGTTTATAAAATTGACTCATTCCAGTACATGTTCCAACGGTTTCCTTTTTAAGACCAACATACTCAGGTTTAAACAATTTATCAAACTTATCTGCAAACTCCAGTGCTCATAAGCATATTATGACTGTTGTTGCTATTTGCCACTGAATCATTTCTATCTTACAGCAACCCTGTGGAGGGCTTTCAAAGAGTGGCTGGTGGATTTGAACCACCGACCTTACTTATCCTATAGCACCACACCAGGATGCAAATAAACTGTTTCATTTGCTTTAAAGCAAGGCACGCGCACTATGGTTTCAAACCTAGGGGTGGGGGTGTGAGTTGGGGGAGGAAACTTGGTGTTTAAAGACCTGGGTTTCCATTTCACAATTTGAATTTCACCTCCAGTCTCAGTTGCTCCATTTGTTAAACTAAAGATATCAACAACAAAAACAACAACATCGACTACTTCCCAAACTATAAAGATAAGTGACAATGTGTAACATATGAATGTCCACCAAAATGAAAGACAATCAAACATAGAAACGTCTTTAAACAAGCCTGTCTTGTGAAAGAGCCCTGGTAGGGTGGTGGATTACGAACTGGGCTGCTATCTGCAAGGTTAGCAGTCTGAATCTACCATCAGCTCCTCAAGAGAAAAAAGAAGCTTTCTGATCCTGTAAATGCTAGACCACTATGACTCGGAACCAACTTGAAGGCACATCACCACTCTTGTACTGAAAATAATTTTTTAAGTGTAATGCATTTCAAATAGTGTCCTGGTGTGGTGCTATAGGATAAGCATTAGATTGTAAAATGAAAGGTCAGCGGTTCAAACCCACCAGCCGTTCCTTGGAACTCTATACAGGGTCTCTGAGTCAGCTCCAACTTGACAGCACTTAACAACAACAATGCATTTCAAAAGCCTCAACTATCTCAAAAGAGATCTGCTACACAAGACAGCTTTACATTGTTCAAGGGCCAAGATATCAATTTGAGGACTAAGGTGCATGTGACCTAAGGTGCATGTGACCCAAGCTACGGTGTTTTCTATAGTATCATATGCATGTGAAAGATAAGATGGACAGGCGCAGTAGCAGCAGCAATGGGCTCAAGCATAGAAACAATTGTAAAGATGGTGCAGGATTGGGCAGTGTTTCATTCTGTTGTGTGTAAGGTTGCTATGAATTAGAATCGACTTGACGGCACCTAACCACAACAACCTCCCTAGACTACACAGGGTCGCTATGAGTCGGAACCAACTTGATGGCACACCAACACTACTCACTACCTTAGACTTGTGAACCAGAATCTGTATTTAAACAAGCTCTGAGGAAATCCACGTATACAGTCAAGTTGGAGAAGCACTACTGCAGCTCATCTAACTGTGATTCATGGGGCAGTACTAGCTCAGGTGCAGTATCCACCACGCATGTGCTGTGATGCTGGAAACTCTGTCCACCGGTACTTTAAGTAGAGTAGGTTCACCCATGGTGGCCAGGTTTCAGTGGAGCTTCCAAACTAAGACAGTTAAGATAAATGGAGAAAAGATTCAAATTGTCAAAGATTTCATTTTGCTTGGAACGATTATCAGTGCTCATGGAAACAGCAATCAAGAAATCCAACGATGTATTGCTGCACAAGACCTCTTTAAAGTGTTCAAGAGTAAAGATGTCAGTTTGAGGACTAAAGTGCATCTGACCCAAGCCATGGTATTTCTAATAGCCTCATCCGGATGTGAAAGTTGGACAATGTATAAGAAGACTGTAAGAGTTGATGAATTTGAGTTATGGTGTTAGAGAAGA